GAAGTCAGAGTATTAAATTATAGGTTAAGAGGATAAGAAGCATTTGCAATAATTAATCCTTTTGGGCCCGACCTAACTTATTTTCTAGTCATTTGTTACGATAGAAGGTCCTGTCTGCCTGCGTGACCGTTCAAGTTCTTTTTCCATTCTTTCCTTCTAACAAACGTCAGATATTTCCCTCTTTCATAATATTTTTCTCTTTTAAATTTTTTGTTATTGTACCATTCTCTTTCCTTTCACCTATGATCTCGGGTTTTTGAGTTTGTAGAGAAATATTTTTCATCAAATCATTTCTTAACATTTCTTTGACATTCAACACTTTCATTACCTAATCTATTCAGTTACGGTATTTAGATTTTTTTGCAAGTTTCCTTGAGATGATGTTTTCTTTATCCCTCTGGAAGACTTACCTTTGCTTAATAAGCCATAATGTCTTCACAGCACGAGATTTGTAAGCGAACTCGTTTCAACCAACATATGCTAAGCACTGCCTTATCATAGAAATAATGATAATTAATACTTTCAAATTAATTTCTTATATCAGCAATATATTAGGAATTTTTGAGGCATATCCTTAAATGTGCTTAAACTTCTACAATCATAATTTCTAATTTAGAGAATTAATTAGGCAAATTTTACCCTGATTTTAGGTTTCTTTGCTATGTTTAGATCACTTTTATGAAAAAAAAGATAGACCTTAAATGTCCCTTTGAAATTTCAGTGTGTCGAAGTAGTGAATGAGTGCAGTACTGGGAAAGCGGACTGCTCCTGCAATGCTGATTGCTTTGATCGAGCTGAAGGTTATGAGTGCAAGTATGTCAGATTCAGCTAGAATGTCAGATTACTGTAAGATTTGGATGTGTGGCTTTAGATGTCGCCCTGGATTCGTGGACGCTTCTCCAGATGTCGTACACTATCCAGGAAGAGTTTGCAATAAGCCAAAATCGCCAGAGCATTATGGTCAGACTAGCAGACAGGTGTGAAAGAAGAATTCGAGTAGATGAATGATTTTCGAATAAATGAATGAATGATTTAAGCCTCAATGCCGTACTTCGGAGCAATGTGGCCCGAATGAAGAATGTCGTTTCAATGCTAAAGGTGAAATGGTATGTCAATGCAAACGTGGAGCTGTTCAACAACGAGATGGGCAATGTAAAGGTGGGTTTAACGGATTTTTGGGAAACTTATACGAGAAATTTTTTAAAAACAAAATTTTGGGTGTTTTGTGATTGTTTTGCCTTTTTAGAAGTAATTTTTGCATCTTTTCAGTGTTTTCACAATGTGAACGTATGAATGAATGCGATAGGAATGCTATATGCTCAAACACCTATGATGGATTCCGATGCCAGTGCAAAGTAAGTTGTTCCCACTTGCAAATTTCGCCGAATTAGCTGCTCTTCAGCCATAAATTGATACTATAATCAGGTCGTTGAACTTTACGTTGTAAACGCATAAAAACTAATTTAAGGCCTCATATCTCACCGTTCCAAATGCATTTATCGTATCTTGAAAAACTGTAAGTT